AATAACAATTTATAAATTATCAAGGGCTCATGAGGGAGGGGGGAGCGGGGAGGGAGGGGAAAAATGAGGACCTAATGCCAGGGGCTTAAGTGGAGAGGAAATGTTTTGAGAACGATGAGGGCAATGAATGGACAAGTGTGCTTTACACAATTGATGTATGTATGGATTGAGATAAGAGTTGTATGAGCCCCTAATAAAACGATTTAAAAAAAAAGAATTTCATCAAACCACAAAAACCTGCACCCATGCTGTTGAGCCAGGTCCTTTTAGAAGAGGCTAGAATGGTTGCGCAGGGTTTCCCCGGCTGGACTTCTTCGTGGAAGCAGACTCCCACTTTCTCCTGCACAATCGCTAATGGACCCTGCCTTGGAACTTAGGTTCTGAGCACCCGGTTTGCAAGGGGCTATGGATGGCAGTGACAATCCAAAATATATTGGCAAGGTCCCCACAAAGATTTAGCCGCCGTTGAAGTATTTCTGATCATTAACCAAGGATGTAGGTCATCTTGCCCATAGGGAGAGTAACGTGAACAGGAGGGTCCCTCTACCCCTTTCCAGCCAGCCCAGAAAGGGGTGTTCTCTCTTAGGAGCTCGCTGGGCTGTGTCCTTGATGGAGATCGCCTTCCAGGGGACAGGACCAAGGGTTGAATAGTCACAAGTCATGCTTTACCAGTCTTGTCCTGGCGGCCTTGGATTAAACTTTTTTTTTAAATCATTTTACTGGGGGCTTGTACAATTCTTGTCACAATCCATACATCCATCCATTGTGTCAAGCACATTTGTACATTTGTTGCCATCATCATTTTCAAAGAATTTTCTTTCTACTTGAGCCCTTGGTATCAGCTCCTCATTTTTCCCACACCCTCCCTCCCTCACGAACCCTTGATAATTTATAAATTATTATTTTTTCATGTCTTACACTGACTGATGTCTCCCTTCACCCACTTTTCTGTTGCCCATCCCCTGGGAGAGGGTTATAGGTAGATCATTGTGATCGCTTCCCCCTATCTATCCCCACCTTCCCCTGACCCTCCTGGTATCGAAACTCTCACTATTGGTCCTGAAGGGTTTATCTGTCCTGGATTCCCTGTGTTTCCAGTTCTTATCTGTACCCATGTACATGCTCTGGTCTAGCCAGATTTGTAAGGTAGAATTAGAATCATGATAGTGGGGCGGGGGGAATGGTATGTTTCATCGTTGCTACACTGTATCCTGATTGGCTCGTCTCCTCCACGTGGCCCTTCTGTAAATGGCTGTCTAGTTGCCTACAGATGGGCTTTGGGTCCCCACTCTGCACTCCCCCTCATTCACAATGATA